GAAACTTAGCTTCTATATGTACATAATATTACGCGAATGTCTAAGTAGGTTCGTCTGAGCAATCATAAACTAAAATTGAAACAGGGAGGTACACCAAACCAAAATCGAAATAGGAAACAGAATCTGCGAACTGTGTTCAAATAACAAAGTAGACGATGAGTACCATTTCATGATTGAATGCCCCTTTTACGAAAAATCGAGGAAAGCACTATTTGAAGAGACTACTAAGCACATTATAAACTTCACGAATATGAGTGATTACAACATTTTTTTAAAATTAATGGGTGATACAAATCTGAATGTACAAATACCAGTTGCCCAATTTATCAAAAAATAACACGAACCTTAGATAGAAACATCTTCTGGCAAATTAACATTTTTCTCCTTTAATACGTGTAATACGTTTCATTGATTTACTGTTTATTGCTTTTTTATTATTATTTCATCTATTTTTTTTCAATATTATTACCAACATATATCAATAGTTTTTTTGTAATTGTAGTCTGTTGATTTATTTTTTAAACCATTGTTGTGCTTTAGTCAATAATTCTTGTAAAATTGGTATGTTTTATATATGTGTTTTAGCAGTTAGTGTAATCATTTTAATTCCTTCTGAGGAATTTTAAGTGTTTCAATAAACCTATAAGTAAGTATACATTAGTTTATAAGCTAATATGTGTGCATCACCCCTCTCAACACAAAAAAACATTTAATAATTATCAGTACACATATACCCATAGTTTAACTCATCATTAACCACCATAGATAGTGACACAAGCCAAAATTATAAAACAATAATTAATTAATTGTAACTAATGCGTAATTGTTTCCTGGGAAAAATTACATTATAACTCATAAACACCCGACAGATCCTGGGACCTATACGCGAGAGGTACCCAACAGATCCTGGGACCTATACGCGAGAGGTACCCAACAGATCCTGGGACCTATACGTGAGAGGTACCCAAGATCCTGGGACCTACACACGTGAGGTATCCAACAGATCCTTGGACCTACACACGAGAGGTACCCAAGAGATCCTGGGACCTACACACGAGAGGTACCCAAGAGATCCTGGGACCTACACACGTGAGGTATCCAACAGATCCTGGGACCTACACACGAGAGGTACCCAAGAGATCCTGGGACCTACACATGTGAGGTATCCAACAGATCCTGGGACCTACACACGAGAGGTACCCAACAGATCCTGGGACCTACACACGAGGTACCCAACAGATCCTGGGACCTACACACGAGAGGTATCCAACAGATCCTGGGGCCGACACACGAGAGGTACCCAACAGATCCTGGGACCTACACACGAGAGGTACCCAACAGATCCTGGGGCCAACACACGAGAGGTACCCAACAGATCCTGGGACAAACACGTGAGGTACCCAACAGATCCTGGGACCTACACACGAGAGATACCCAACAAATCCTGGGAACTGCACACGTGAGGTACCCAACAGATCCTGGGATCTACACACGTGAGGTACCCAACAGATCCTGGGACTTGCACACGTGAGGTACCCAACAGATCCTGGGATCTACACACGTGAGGTACCCAACAGATCCTGGGATCTACACACGTGAGGTACCCAACAGATCCTGAGACCTACACACGTGAGGTACCCAACAGATCCTGGGATCTATACACGTGAGGTACCCAACAGATCCTGGGACTTGCACACAAGAGGTACCCAAGAGATCCTGGAATCTACACACGTGAGGTACACTGGGAACCTGGAACCTACACACGAGAGGTACCCAACAGATCCTGGGGCCGACATACGAGAGGTACCCAACAGATC